AATGCCGAGAATATTAAGACCGGGACCTCCTAGCATTCCTAGAATGCCGCCACCTCAAATGCAAATGTCAAATATGTCGAATATGTCGAATATGTCGAATATTACGAATCCTCAGATACAAACACAATCTGGAACGACTACACAGCCTAAGACGCCCAATGTTCTTTCCGCTGCGCCACAATTAATTAATAGAAAAGACAAAGACGGAAAAAGTAGTACCACTATCGAGGCGAAACCACAAATTAGGAATCTGGCTGCTGATGTTACAAGATTTTTACCAACATCTCTGCGAGTGAAGAGAGATGATAAGAAGAAATCTAGCAATATTTCCAGAATTACAGAAAGATTACCAGAACCGCAACCACTTAGAGCAACGCAACCTAAAACGAAAGATGATGCATATATGCAATTTATGCAAGAAATGGAAGGATTACTCTGAAAATTGATGGAAAAACATATATGTTTTATTCAATTTGATTCAATTGGAGCAATCAATATAAACATCTGTACAATATACAAGCATCATTAAAAACATAACATTTTTGTTATTATTTAATATCATCTGTAAATGTTTTTAAGCATATGAACGAAGATATAAAATTTTTCACGCAGATTGGAAGACTTGAAGAGATAGCATTAAATTAAAAAATCAAACTGGAATTATTTTAATAAGTAATCATGATAAGTATAACAATAAATTTAATAATTTTTTCGATATTTGAATTTATTTTTAATTTGTTTTATATTTAATAAAAATGTAAGAATATTTAATATTATAATTCAGAGCTTGCAAATAAATATATGTTAACAATTTATTTACATAAAAGCTTTATCTTGTTGATTTAAATTATCATTCTCTGAACTTCTTCAATTAATAGTGAAGAAAGAACTTTAAATGCAACAAGAAAATTGTATTTTATATAAGACAAAAGATAAATTGTGAATTTTATAATAGAGATCTGTATATGTATAAAGCAATTCAAGTAAAATATTTTTAATGTTATAATACATTTTTTAGCGTTACTTTAATATATTTCACATTTATAAAAAACATTAAATTAAATTATATACATATTTACATAAATTTATAAAATATAAACCATTGTCATTTTTATTTTACTATTTGCTTCTCTCTCTCTCTCTTTAACGTTATAAAAAAATATATCTTAATTTTATAATAATTTTCATGTACTATACAATTTAATTGTAAGAAATGGATTGTTCCTTGCAGCCTCGAAAATATCGCCTCCGAAATATCGTTGAATATGCCGCGCATCAGTCAGAAGTAACATGGCGAACTTGCTATTTCCGATATTCGACGGACAACGTCATTTCCTTTTTCTTCATGCTAGTAGCAAGTATAGCGAAAACGTCGAGCAATATTACCGAAAAACATCCTTGTGTAAGAACAGTGACAAGCTCGATGTATTAAGCACATTGATATTTACGTCTTTTTGCAATTAATCCTCTTCTCACCTAACGGATCGCGTGACGATCAAACGCTCTTACGCGTTTGTTGGATCAAAATTTTAACGAAGCTTCAAGATGTACACACGGAGTAGGCAAAATCAGGGCTACGGCAATAGTAAGACTATATACATATATGAGAATGACGCTATGTACAAAAATTTCGGCTTGACTTGTATATCGTATCATCGATAACGCACGTAAAATATAATGAACAGAAAGTAATTTCTTACAAGAACAAATCGATAATATGTGTACCGGTTAATGAAGAATAGCAGTGTTTTGTGTGCGAGAACGCGTCATTCACTCTCTCTCTCTCTCTCTCTCTCTCTCTGCTCATCAATAATGTTGCACGATAATGCTATTTATGATCATAATAATACGCGATATTTGAGTCTCTCAACATTTGATTAATGCTTTGGTATTAAAGATAAAAAAATTTATAAAATGTGGAATTGATAAGTTTGGTTTCTGATAGTCTCATTTATTGAAGCACTGAAATGAGAAAGATTTATCGATATTACTAATCATGACCATATCTAATTGATTTTAACATTTTGATGGAAAATATATATATA